TTTTTTCCTACAGTCTTATTATATACATTATGACAATTGTATTAGATAAAAATGTATATGAAATTTATGTTTATCATACGACAACTAACAAATTTTTAAATCAAAACCATGTGTAAATTAAATCAAAATAATTTTAATAGTATATAGYTATAAAAGTATAAAATAAATTTACTTCATCATCTAAATCAAAATCTTCAAGTTCGAACATGTTAACAATTTAACACTTGTACAAAGTATAATCACATTYTACTTGTAACWTAAAAAAAAATTAATAACAAATGAACATAGTTCATCATTTTATGCGTTTATCAGTGTATAATTAAATTATTACAGACTGTTGGTCCTACACTTCCACAACAATTTAAAATATTTTCGTTTTAACATCAAGTTTCTGTTCCTCAGTTGCTTGTACTTTTAAAGTCAATTCATTGTGTTTTGTCAGTTATAAATTTTTACTTTTTAGATAGCACTACAGTAGATAATGTCGAATTTTAATTATTAAGTTCATTTTTTTTTTTTTATAAGTTAAATACCGACATTTTTAAAATATTGTTATATCGTGATTAAACGATTCTTGATAACGATTAAGATAAGCGTCCCAAAAAATATAAGTGATTATATATTATCTACAACTTTCTAGTGCCAACAAAACAGTTATACCACATTCTGTTATTCTGTGATGATACAATAATTATTAATTATTTTTATTTTTACTCCACGCTCAATATTACCCATACATATTATAATAAATTATATCAATAAATATTTAATGATTTTATGTATTTTAATAAATTAGGAAATATCTTAAGTAGGATATTAAAACAAAAATAAATTAAAAATCATTTATAATATTATGAAAACTTGTATGCATGCTTTGTCCCAGGGGACCACTGTAAAAATGTTTTAACCTCACAAAATGTACAATCACAAAATCTCTTTTTCCTAAGYTAACTCTGCTTGTTAGTATTTCTTATTTCTTGTTTAACTAATTTATTTTACTTTTAAAAGKGTTTCTCCGCCGTMAAAATGGTATGTTTAATCCAAATTTATCTAAATAATCGTTTTACTAAAACCTAATATAACTATAGAGAATAATTCATAATGTTTTCAGTGTTTTGATGAATTTAGATTTTTCACTTTTTTGACTTGTATTTGTTTTTAATTGAACAAGTCAAAATACTACTATGGCCATATTAAAATGTTGTTATTTTTTTAACTATATTTCGTCTTATTATATTTTTTTTATTTTTTCAGGCCAAACGTACAAAGAAGGTAGGAATTGTAGGTAAATATGGTACCCGATATGGTGCCTCGCTGCGTAAGATGGTCAAGAAAATTGAAATCACCCAGCACAGCAAATATACCTGTTCATTCTGCGGAAAAGTAAGACTATTTMAAYTTTAATGTACTTAATTGATATCAAAACAGTTTTTGAGAACTGATTGTGTTTTCTATCTTGTTGAAAAAATTATTATTCATTTTGAAGTTAAAATAAAATATAAACATATTTTGATCTAGACTAAAAAATATACCTGATTTTCATTTTAATATTAGTGTGATTTTTGTTGTTTAATATTTGAAACAATTGTTTTTAGGTTTATGTTTTATCATATTTACAATGCATTCATTTAAATTAATTGAAAGTACTTGGTGTATCATAATTTATGTGCCCTGTGTTGTTCTTTTTATGGTAKTTTATAAGTATTTTTATATTGTTACGATTTTGAYGCTYATAACTTATATTCAAATTAACATAGCCAACATGTAATGTTGGAGAAACACAGGTAATGTTCTAATCTTTCAGTTTGATAATAGATGAACTCACTTTAATATTAAAAGTAATAATAATACAGTGTCTATATACCAAATGTACATTTTTTATAGTATGTATTAGAGATGGGATGATTCGGTCACTTGAKTGATTCGAATCGAATCAGTCAAATGATTCGGTCATTTGATTTGTTCATTCGGTCAATTTTACAACGAAGAACGATAGAACGAAYTATGAAGACCTTAAACGGTTTAATCTCCTTAGAGATTGCTGTTGTTATTATCAAATCATGTTATTTTTCCCGGGTTTTTAGGTTTAAATTGCAAAATCAATTTTTGTAATGTGACACATTTTACTCAACCATAAATTTTTATAATTAAAATTAAACAGCAATACAGCATTACTTTACGAATAATTTGTTAAAGGGAACACTTTTTAACCACATTTAGAGGTAGGGTGACTGAGTTTCCACTTTAACCCCTGTGTATAACTTAATATAAGTAGTTCATACTAGAATATGTACTTTTAAAAGTATGTACTCTTATCCTTTATAATAATTTGTTGTAATTTTTAAAATTCTTTATCTTATTATGTAATAACACGGAACAATAATAAAGAAAAATAAGTGACCAAATCACCATAGATATTTTAATATTTAATATCTATGCAAATCACTGAATCATATAATCAGTCAATTTGACCGAGTCAAAGTGTACTGAGAACCAAAAGATCTAAAAATCTTATGACCGAATGACCGAATCATTTAGATATTAAATTCGGTCACTAGACTGATTTGGTCATTTTGATTCGTTTGTTCGCGACCGACCCACCTTTAGTATGTATCCGAGAGAAAACAAATGGTATACTGACATCCTCTTAATACTTTCAAAGTACTGTGAAAGAAAATAAAAGACAATAATACCTTATATTTTATTGATTAATATTTAATTGATATTCAGGCAAAATAAATTAAACAACATATGATTTTAACTTCCTAATAGTTCATATCAGTTATCTCTTATATGTTTAATTTATAAATTTCACTATTTTGAGTTTTTTTTTCTTTGATTTTATGATAAGTTGATTAATATTGGTATTATATATTAAAATGGTTTATTTTTTTTAGGAATCCATGAAGAGAGCTTGTGTAGGAATTTGGTCATGCAAAAGGTGTAGACGAACTGTAGCAGGTGGAGCTTATGTATATTCTACAACAGCTGCAACCACTGTACGATCCGCAATCAGACGTTTGAGGGAAGTGAACGACTTGTAATTTCCAACATTTGATCATTATCTAATATAAGGACATTAAAAAAAAAAGATTTGTTAATTTTTTTCCTTTTCCTTTGAATTAATTTGTAAAAGTTTGTTGAAAAATAGTGATGACCACTAATTGATTATATATCCTTGTAAAATGTAATTTATATTTTTAAAATCATGGACACTTCCTTAAAAAATGCACTGAACAAATAAGTGGTAGATTGTCWGTTAACAGTTCTGGTCCTTTTTTTCTCATTCCGTGCACTCAAAGTTTTTACTATATCTTAATTAGGTTAACTTAAAAATATGATAACTAGCTACTATTGAGAATCAAGTGTAAATTTCATTTAAGGCTTGATTGTAATTCATATATTAATTTGAGATTCCTTTTGAATTTTTGATCTTGTACTCATGTCATGTAGTTTAGGGTAGAGATAGTTGATTATGAGATTTAACATTGATATCTTAAGACGATTTATATTATCTTAAAATATCGATAATATGATGCTAATATTCTCTAAAAAAAAAAACCTTCAAATATTCTTTTAAAAATCTATAAAATATGTTAAGATGTGTAAAAATAATCTTATGCTTTATATGCATTTTTTAATTTTTCTTTTACACATTCTAATGGTGAGGTATTAAAAGTTACATATTATAATGGCATATAACGGAGTAAGAAATAGGAATATGCATTTATATGCCAATATAATATTTAAACACAAACAATTGTTTGGTAAAAAAATTTTCTGGGTACCGTAACATTAAAATTAAAGATAAATACAATTGTTTATAAAATTTATAAAATATTCTAAATAGGTTAAATATTCTCAAATATATGAAAAAAAACCTACACATTTGAATGTAACAAATTGACCACATTTTTTACTCTCATAAGACTGCATCGACCCAGTCAGTTTACGATGTGTAAAAACATATTAATCTTGTCTTTATTGGTAACATTTCTTTTAGAAAATCAATAAAATAATAGCACTAAAATAGTCGATCATTAGTTTTGAAGTTTAAGTGCTTGATGCTCATAAAATATTAATGAAAAGTAAATTTAAAGTCTAATGGTTAAACAACATTATTTGTGTGAAGTTTTTAAGTTGCAATAATATACAGTAGACAACATAATTATTGTTGTACTACTTCAGTTGAGTTTTAATAGTTTTTACATTGGTAATATTTCAACATTCAATTTGATGATATATT